ATTCATCAACAATTATCCTATCAAGTGAAGTTGATTATGACATAGCACCATTATAGTCATCCGATATTGAAAATAATTTTCAAGAATATAGATTCTCAAATATTGTAAATTTTAATTGCAAAGTTTTAGTTTGCCAATTCTTGCCTCTACCGGAACAGTTTGACCCATATTCTTGAATTTGCCGTTTGAATGGGAGGATGGTGAAACCTCTCATGAACTGACTACAAAATGATTGACCGACTTCTTGTTACACATTCAAATAACTACTCTTCTCTTTTGACTCATTTTGATTAGCTTTCTCCCATATTTTAAATAACAAAAGGTAAAATTATGGGTGATTTGAATGAAATATCACCTTGCTAGGAATTAAACCTATGCCTTGCCAAGTGATTGAAGGCACAAGTTCTTCTGAGAGTGCTCTGACCATGGCTTTTACAATTATGCTCCATAGTTCACCTACATTAAACTCGAATCTTGTTTTTAGGAATTCCAAGGTGAAGGAGCGCTTGATATTGCCACTGTTGGAGCAGGAGTACCAGCATTACTGCGAGTTATTGGGCTTTTCTTGTTTCATTTGGCAGGTCAAATCCTACTGTAGGAGGAACCTAAGTTACATAATTCTTCTAAACGTGTGGTGCTCTCACGCTTTGTACGCGCCTTTGTTCTTGTGCTCGGCGTACGCTCTTACTCTCAATCCCACCATGTGTTACTTAGATTTTGTTGCTTTCATACTCCCGCTCCGCACTGGCTCTGTATGACCTAGCTAGGGAGGAACCACGTACTCTATCCGCAACTGCTTCACTGCTCATCTTCATTTTCGGCCTGGATGGATCTACTATAGAATCCTACCCAAAAACAGGCCTAGTGAGAGCCAACGGCTGCCCAAGCCCAATGTATGACACCATGTGACCGGCCCAAGCAGACAGTTAGCAGCTTTCCTAATTGTCAACATTTCTTCCATGCCCATTGCATCAATGAATGGCTCCAAATGAATGTTACCTGTCCAGTTTACCAAAATTCTCCTAACGGTTGCCACCTTTTCAGGCCTTGTAATTTTATTTTCAATTTTTTTTTTTTTTTTTTTAGTTTCTGGGTAAATGGTTAGACTTCAAGAAAATGTGACAAAAGAAAAACAATATTACTTTAAATAGTTAATTTTCCTAGTTGAAAGTTTTATTGATCGTAATTTTCTTCTTTCATACTTTGTTTCGAGGGCAAAAAATGAACCCCTAGTCAATTGCAGTTCTTGTCTTTCAATTTTTGAGCACCTGGGGGCATTTCCAAATGCGCGAGTGTGCACACGTGTTTGTATATACATATGTGGGTCATTAACTATCCAGAGATTTATAATTATTTAGGAAAAGATAAATTAAAGATTGCACGCAAGCACTACATTGGACATGGTTAATATTCTATCATCTTTCCTTTCTCCACTTGTTTTCTACTACAACCATGAAAAGGACTCTTATCGACCGAGTCAAAGTTGATGTAACTTTCTCTTTAATAGGTCCTGTGAATTGGTTTTTCCTTGAAGAGGTTTAACTGTTGTGTGGTTGCTTGGTGTCAATTGATGAATCATTTTCGGTCATTTCCCTTCTCCTTCCTCCGCCTACTATTAATGAAGTCTATCAGAAAGAAATGACTTCGTCGTTGAGATGACTTTAAATTACAACCACTGATGGATTGTCCACACAATAGAATAGAACAAAACTTCTATGTTCATATTCATACTAATCAATGTTGACAGACTCTCTCAAGTCTTCCTGATTTGTTTGCTTGAATAACTTTGATTTTTTTAGAAGACTACTTTAAAGGCAGCCATCTTCATACGCAAATGCCCAACTCTCATGAAAAGGACAAAATATGACACGAGGGAAAAGAAGAAAAAAGAAAAAAGTGGTACACATGAAAACAGAAAAATGAATGGTCTCTTCTTAAAATTTCCAACTCCCTCTCCCTATCTCCATCCCTCATCTCCTTCCTTTCGTCCTCTTTTTCACGACGAAAATTATTTAAGGGTGAATTACACTAGCTTTTCCTGAGATTTGGATATCTTATACAATAATAGATTGTCAACGTTTATGATTTTAAAATCTCTTACATTTTGATGCATATACTCAATGACAACCTTGCCATTTTGTTTCCAGTTGACGAAGTTTTATAAAATGATAATTTTATCTTTTAATTGTATTAAAAAGATAATAGGACAATATTTTATCTTTTCTTTGCTGTTAGGACATATGGCGAATATGGTTATGTTTGTGGGAGCTGAGTGATTTGGATTAGAACTTAGAATCAATTGTAGAGGAAGATGAGATGGGGAAAATCTTAGATCTTTTGAGGGTTGTTTAGAGAGTGAAGAGCTTGAGGATGTAGGCAGAAGGTTGTGAGTCTTGAGTGATTGAGGCAGCGAAGGTGTTTTCGAGGCTAAGGGAGAGACCGGAGAGTGGTGGGGTTGCGAGGAGATAGAAACGATGGGTTCTAGTTCTAGAACCAAATAAATTATAAATAAATTTTAAAAAAATTAATTTTCCTAAATGTTAACATATTTAACCAAAAAAGTTGAAAAGATAAAAAGTAATCATAGTTTAAATATTATATATAATGTATTTAAAAGGAAAAATATACATGAAAATAATATTAAAATTCAAGTTCGGGTTGCTAGTATTTCAATTCAAACTCAATCCTAATTAATTGGCAACAACCAAAGCACATGCTTAAGATGCAACCAACAATCGATAGATTATCTCCTTTATTACCTAATTGGTAAAGCTGAATCGACTAACTAGTGTGACATCAGTTCTATGGTGTTTCACAATAAATAAATTGCATTACTTGGAAGTGAAAGAAATTTTCTAAGCCATAGTCATTGTCCCAATAAATTAGTTACAGAGATCAATGGTCTTTCGATCTTTCCGTTATTTTTTATTCTTAACCTTCAATACTTTTGTAGATAAAGAAAAAATTGGTTACAGCAAAACTGAGGTTTTCATACGTTTCTATTTGGTTAATGACTATGCTCTCTGTGGATTTGTTCGAGCAAGCATTGGGGATTTGAAAAGGACTCTTATTGATCGAGTCAAAGTTGATGCAACTATTCTGCCGTGATTTGATTTTTTTCCTCACAGAGTTTTCAACATCAACATTATGTGTTGTTTGTTTTTATTATTTAAGGCTGATTTTTTCTAATCAAAACTACACATAATTTTTTCCTCACATTGTTTTCAACATCAACTCTGTAGATTTGTTCCAGCAAGCATTGGGGATTTGAAAAGGACTCTTATTGATCGAGTCAAAGTTGATGCAACTACTCTGCCGTGATTTGATTTTTTCCTCACAGAGTTTTCAACATCAACATCATGTGTTGTTTGATTAGAAAAAAACTTCATGTTTATCATATTCATACTAATCAATAATGACTCACTTCCAGCTCTTCTTGGCTTACTTTGCATGACTTTGATTTTTCTACTTCAAATTAGGGATTTTAATCTAAGTAAGATTCGAATTTGATTCGATAATTTGAATATGGATTGAAAATTTAATGCAATAATCCACTAACGACTCAAATTCAATAATCCATTAACAAATTGGATATAAATTATGGTGGATCCGATTCGATAATAATTCGATCCGAGATAATATATTATATAATATATTAAAAATATATAATCTAATTTTATAATATATAATATTTATATATTATCAAAATATTTCATTATTTTCTCCTCTCTTTCTTCACTCTCTTTATTTATTTTTATTCCGAAATTTTTATTCTTTAACAAAGAATAAAAGATATAATTTTCTTTTTCATATTTTATTTATCTTTTTTTATTATTATTATATTTATTCTCTTTTGACATAATTTTTTAATAATAAAAAATTTTACACACACTCCATTATCGGACTGGATTATCGGATCGAATATCCGTTTATTAACAAATTGGATGTGAATTTCTTCATAAAATATCCGTCGAATTATTGAATCGGATTGGATCAAGCATAACCTTATCGGATTCAGATTTGGATTGGATCGGCACTGATCCGATTTGAATCCGACACGTTTACATGTATACTTTAAATGTAGCCATCTATCTTCATACCCAAATGCCCACTAGATCTGGTCAAAGTTGATTCAACTTTTTCTTGAATGAAGTGGATTACTATGGTCCTGTGATTAGATTTTTCCTATTATAAGTTTTAGGAGTAATTTCACTGACACCTTTTTAGATTTGGCCAAACTTTTAAATATCTTTCGAAAATAACTATCATTTACATTTCAAATGTTTGTTCCGTTTTTCACTCATACCCCAACCGTTACTTGCACAGTTCTGACACAATGTAAAATGACTTAAATATCCTTTAACTTTGTCAAAATAACTCTTTTAACTTAAAAATTACATAAAACACTAATATATTCCTAAATATTTTATAAATTTACAAATTATATTATATTGTATATCTTTATTGTTATATATATATATATATATATATATATATATATATATATATATATATATATAAGAATAAGAAATTAAATGAATATTTTGGCATGATTTCAACAAATTGGGTCCAATTTAAATTCTGATAATCATTTTAAAGAAAAGAATGGTGTTTACACCCCAAAGATTGCACCAAACAACTTATTCGTTTGTTTAATTATTTATTACGTAGTACTTATTATTATTTTATTGTTTTATCCTATCATTCTTATCAACAACCTATACAACTAATACAACCATTACTCTATGAATATATATATATATGGCCTCCTGACAACCATGTTCTACCTAGGGCGGATGATCTTAAGGATTTCTCAATTTGCTGCTTATAGACGGATAAAGAAGAACCAAATGGACCAAACCTGCGCTTCTTCAAATATCCTAACAAGAACAGACCAGAAAATTAAAGCCAAAGTCAGACTGAACATAGGAATTTAGGGTTTTATTTGCGAAGTGATTTATGGGTAACATGGGTTGCGATTGGATTTGCCATCACTACAGATGAGACCTCTGTTGTAACAGAAAGAGGAGAAAGCGAGGAAGGAGTCGCCGCCGCCGCCGATGAGACCTTTGTTGTGGCGGTGACGAAAGCGAGGGCCGACGATGGGTGTAATGGTGGTGGCAGATAGGTGTAATAAGGAGGGGTATGATGGTCATTTAACTAACTTGATATTTTGGAATAAATGAGAATGTGACGGAAAAGTAAAAATGGACCTTAGTGATATTTATTTTCAAAAAATGTTTGAGAGTGATATTTGGCCAAATCTGAAGGGTATCAGTTAAATTAACCCTAAGTTTTAATATAAACATTATTGTTGCGTTTGCGTTCGGAAGCACCATATCAGTGTTTAGCATTTAAAACAGGAAGAAATTAAAAATTCTAGTACTTGCTTAATTAAATTTAAAGCAAGTACTAAATATGCATTCTTTGTTTTACTTGTTTTAGGTTGTTATAATTGACTCGCTTGTTGTGTAGTTGCTTGATGTCAATTGATGAATCATTTTCAATCCTTTTGCTTATCCTTCCTCCACCTAGTAGGCCAACTATTAATTAAATCCTCCTATTCTGTCTGAAAGAAATGGCTTCGACTTTTAGACGACTTTTAATTCGCACAATAAAATGGAAAAAACTTCCCTGATCATATTAATACAAATCAATGTTGAGTGACTTTTAAGTTTTGCTTGCATGACTTTGATTTTTCAAAAAACCACTATAAAAGCAACCATCTTCATACGAAAATGCCAAACTTTCGTGAAAAGGACTAAATATGAAAACACAAACATGAAAATGACTCTTTTTTAAAATTTCCAAACTCCCTCCCCCTATCTCCCATCCCTCATCTCCATTTCATCTTCTTTTTCTCAGGGAAAATTCTATCTTCTTTCCCATTCTCCTCCCCCTTTCTTACTCTTGACCGACTTTTAGTTTTAATTTAAGGGTAAATTACACTGGTTTTTCTTAAGATTTGAACAAATTACACATTGTGTAAACTATTAAACGTTTATTACTTTAACCTCCTCTAAGGTTTGGTGTGCGTGCTCAAGGACACACTTATCATTTTATTTTCATAAAAATTGTTGACCAAATTTTATAAAACAACAATTTTACCTTTTTCTTTATACGCAAAGACAATAATAATCTTATTTATTGTAATATAATATACCGACTCTATCTTTCTCGGAGATATCTATTTTATTTTCTCTCTTTTTTTTTTTTTTTTTTTTTTAAAGAATTAATTGATGGATTTGTGTGGATTTTCCTCACTTTTTTTGATTTGTGGTTATTAATCAAAACAAAATTAATCGTGATATTGTTACCCAAATGGAGATGGAGTATTGGTATAAAGCTGGGTACATTTTTTGTCTAAAACAATGAATATGTTGAACGGGGAGTCAGGTGAAACATATCTAATGGAAGGAGTTTGATTAAATGGATGTGATATATTACTATAGTTGAAACTATCTGAGAGTGAAATTTTCTTTAATTGAGTAAATTGGAACTTTTTTCTTTGTTTATACTTTAGAGCATGGTTCGTCGTAGTATAGGCCAATACACGACGTATCAGTTAGTTCGTAATGCTTTTTTAAGGGTTCGATATCATTATATACATTCATGAACCGGCCAATTTGACTAGTTTATACTGATATTCGTCCAATTCTATTATACCGCAATAGCGATCGATACCGTGACTGCGAACCATACTTTAGAGTGAGGCAGGATCTTTGTTGGGTAATTTCAAAATTGTTAGGAGTTATGGTGAATATGGTTGCATTTGTGTGAGTTGAGTAATTTGGGTTAGAACTGAAATCCATTGGTGGGTTGTTGCCTATTAAGGATTGTAGAGGAAGATGAGACTGCGAAAACCTTAGATCTTTTGAGGGATGTTTTGATAGTGGAGAGCTTGAGATTGTAGTGAGAAGGTTGTGAGTTTTGAGTGGTTGAGGCTGCAAATGTGTTTTGGAGGCGAAGGGAGAATTGTGGGATTGAGAGGAGAGATAAACGGTGGGTTCTAGAGAGAGACCTTTTTACATCCGTAAACCCCATTTACTACTGAAGTCCGTGTTTTTTCACATCCCTAAAATGCGTTTGATCATGTGGCTAAAAAAAAGAGCTCGTGAGTATTTTGACAGTTGTCATAGTAGCACCACTCTAATATTTATGGTAGTTAGTTGAATTAAACTTATTAATTTTAGGATAATGCTTAGCTACTCACCGGTGAGTAGCTTTACCATACTCACTCCTTATGTGTTCCAATAATAAAATAGCACATCAGCTTTAATAAAAAAATAACCTACTCCCTCTTCTACTTTCTCGGATAAACCATTGAATAAACATATAGGGCTTTTTTTATATTTTTTTTATTAAAGTTGATGTATTATTTTGTTATTGAAACACATAAGGGGTGAGTAGGGTGAAGCTACTCATTGGTGAATAGCTAAGTATTATCCTTAATTTTATTGATGTAGTTTCGATCAACACTTTAAAATATATGAGGTATTGTATCCCTTGTGAAAATAGCAGGAGTAATTTATACCAAAATAGTATAAACTAATTTCAGAAAGCACAGTAGTTTCATATTAAAATTAGATTTTGTAATTTAAAAATAGGGTAAAGTACAAGAAATTCCCCTGAACTATGTTTGAATTTGCTAATAATCTACGTGAAGTATACTTTGTGCATAATACCCCCAGAATTATCACATTTAGTTGCAAAATACCACAATGCCTTGACTATTTTTCATTAAATGACCATAATGTCATTTCTTATTCAATTATATTTAATCATTTTTGTTATTGAAATAAATTATGAAAAAAATTTCATATTAATTTGATGAAAAATTCTCCATTAAATTTGCATTAATTTACCTTTAATTTTTAAAATTAAATCTTTAAATAAAAATTTAAGTAAATTTTTTAAAAAATAATTTAAGTAATTTCTTATTTTTTTCATGAATATATTGCATAAAAAGAATGTATTTTTTTATTTAAGTAATTTATAAACTTTCATGAATATATTGTATGAAAAATAAGGTATTTTTTCTATAAAAAAGTTTAAACTGAGTATAATAAATTTTATTATAAATTATAAAATTTTGATTATAAGTTAATAATTTTAGAAAATGGTAGTTACAAATCCCTTTTTTTTTTTTAATGATAAATTGATACTAATAATAAATTAAGGTAAATGGTATAATTAATATTTAGAAAAGAAAAATATATTAAAATAATTTAATAAGAAATGACAAATTTAATGAGAAAGAGTAAAAAAAATCTTTTGTGATAGATTTATCCTCAGTTGCAACAAATCAATAGTTCAGGGGAGCACAATAGTTTAGGGAGGTATTTTGCACTTTACCCTTAAAACTATTAGTGGATGGGAGTTAGGAATTAGTCCACACCAAACCGAAGGCAGGGACGTCCACGGGGTAAAGTGTCGCCTAAGACCTCCAATTTGGAAATGCCTCAAATTTAGGACCATAGTGCAAATATAGTAGTATATGTGTGACATTAAGGCCATAATTTTTATAATTAAAAGATAATATATACTTATATATCATGTCAATTTATGGCAATAAATAACTTTCAAAAAATATATTTATAACAATAAAAACTCGTACTTATAATATCAATTTGTATATGTTATACAATAATTTTATGGTAACAACAATAATTTGTTTCTATTGCCTCCCTCCAAAAGAAAAAAAAAAAATAGTATTTTTTTATATTTAAACTCAAAAACTGATTTATTTTATTCTTATATTATTTTTGGGCTTCTGTGCATGCATGAGCTTTGTTACGCCCAAAACCAAAAATTTTAACTCATAGGTGCAATCAACTGTCACATTTCTCAAAATATCCTTTTAAGATCTCCTAAAATGTAATGATCCAAATATGAAGGATCTGAATCATTACCGGGTGATGAAATGAATCCGAGTCCTTACCTGAACCCAATAACACGATAAGGGCGAAATGGTCATTTTAAGGTGAGGGAAAGGAGTGAGTTGACTCTAAATGAGTCAAAAAGAGTTAATTTAAGCCATAATAACCATTTAAACCCATTTGGTGAGTTTCTAGACGAAGAACATTGTTTTCACAAAATTGGCCCTTTTCGGTTTAGCAAATATCTGAAACAGTCCACACTAAAATGGTTATAACTTTCTCTATATTTTGAATTATTAAATGAAGTTTGTACTATTGGAAAGCTGAATCAAAATTGAAGTTGCCAAATCAAAATTGAACTTGCTGCTGGCGTCCCATGTGCCTCACATGCCTTCCTAGGCACCTCAGAAACTTAAAATGTGCCTCCTATGCTTTATGAGGCGCCTCTTAAAGGTAGTAGTCAAATGGGAAGGGGGAAAAGCTTATCAGGCACCTCATATGAGCTATAAGGCGCCTCATATGCCCTGGAACACTCCCAAACACCTATTACATGCAATTTTAAGGTTATAAATACTTGTAAAATAAAGTGGGGAAACCAATTCCATGTGAACATGGTCTAAACTAGCCATAATCATTCCAACTCCATCTCTAACTTTCATTTTATACCGACACACACTTGAATTAAGCCAAAATAATTACATAGCATTCCCAAAGTCCCATCTACATTGAGATTACATGTCAAAATAATATATAGTTACATCCCACAAGTTCTCTCAACTAGCAGAACTAATGAAATGTATACAAATTAAGTTTTACATATCCCAAAACATACGAGCCTTTACCAAATAGAAGTAGTCATAATAGCATGTGAGTGAGACAATAGCTACAAGTAGAATTTTGTCAAGCTATCATTTACAAAAGTATTCAAAAGAAGTCCATAAATAAGCTTCAAGCTTGGGGTTATGGATTTTCCTCCATGATCGGCCCGGTTCCTGAAATTTGTTAAATAAGGGGTGAGCAACCACTTGCTCAGTAAAAATTGCCTAAAGCACCTACTTTGGACTCCCTTGAGTCAAACAAACAATGGATGGGAAAAATGAATTTGGGATCATGCATCAGGGAAATATAATTCATAAACAATGCACAAAATATCAATTATAACTAGTATACAACAAAATAATGCATGTGAATAGAGTAATGCTATAAAAATGCAATGCCGTCCCAATTTCAATTCCAGACCTACACAATT